AAGTATTAAACACACATAATATAAACTCCAAAACTAATTTACTCAAGCTTGATAGATCTTCATTGTAGCTCAACTTAGTACACTTTACGGATGAAGCTTGAACTTGTATCTTCGACATGAATTACATTGCTTCACTCCACTATTCCGCCAACCTCCATTGGATATGATCGTGAATGCGCAATTCCATCCATCCTCCAACATATTGCTTACCTAGAATAGATACAAAACACAAATATTAGACAAACAACATTAGATGTAAATTGTTTGTAAATCATCATCAAAACAAAAGTACCCAACAAGTAGATGGGTTTCTGAATATTCTCCTCTTCGCGAACAAGGACAGAGCTGACTGCTTCGGAGGAGATGGCCATGTATAAGTACAATGTCTCTCCTCCTATAGGCTGGCTTAGCAGTGGCTTGGTACTCAAGTAAGCATTGAGATCCCGGAATGCTGCACTACATTCAGCCATCCACGCCATGCTCTCCTTTAAGTTCTTGCTTCCCCTTAGCGTCTTGAAGAATGTGAGGCTCCTCTCGACAGATTTGGAGAGGAATCGACCCAGAGCTGCTATCTTTTCATTCAGCTTCTAGATATCCTTCAAGGTACGCGGCTCTGGTAGTCACTTTATGACGACTATCTTCTCGGGGTTGATCTCTATACATTTTTGGATGATCATGAACCCTAAGAACTTCCCCGATTTCACCCTAAAGGTACACTTAGAAAGATTGAGCTTCATTCGGTAACGCTGGAGAGTGGAGAAGGTCTCATCCAGGTCTGATATATGGGTCGACGCTTGCTTTGACTTTATCAGCAAGTCATCCACATAAGCTTCCAGATTGCAGCCGATCTGGTGCTTGAAGGCCTGGTCTTCTCCTGATCATGATTTACCAAGAAGATCTGGTTGTAGCCGGAGAAGGCATCCGTGAAGCTGAGTAGTTCATGCCTTGTGCTCTCGTCGACTAGTTGATCGATTCGTGGTAGAGGGTAGCTGTCATTGGGACAAGTTTTGTTGAGGTCGGTGAAGTCCATGCACATCCTCTATTTGTTCAGCACTTTCTTCACCAATGCAACATTATCTAACCACTCCGGGTATTGGACTTCCCGGATGAAGCCAGCTTTAAGAAGTCGCTTGACTTTGTCGGTCGCTGCCTTCTGGCATTCTGGGCTGAGGTGTCTCTTCTTTTGTCGAACATGCTTGGTATGCCTGTCGATAGCCAGCTCATGGCTAATCACTTCAGGAGGAACCCTTGACATGTCCTCTTGCCCCCAGGCGAATGCATCAGCGTTTGCTTGCATGAACTTGGTCAAAGCTCCTCACAAGCGTTTGACTATATTGGACCTAATCTTAACCGTCTTCAAACCTTCTCGGTCAATGGGTATCTCCTGAAGCTCTTCCACAGGTGTAGTCCTCTGCTGCTCTATTGTTTTCTCTAACTAGAGGCATGCTTTCTCTATGGGCATGGCGTCTTGTGCGCCCTTACCTTGGTCGAGAGCAGGTAGCAGGACCTGACCTCTCGCTAATTGCTCCTAGTGACTCCAACTCCATTAGGAGTCGAGAATTTAACCATCCAGTGGTAAGTTGAAGGGATGACCTGCAAAAGATGGAGGGCAGTTTGGCCTAGGATGACATTATGGCCTGACTTCAGATTCATCACCAAGAACTAGACTTCGACGGTGGCTTTCCTAGGATACTCTACCACTATTAAGGAGAGTGTAATCATTCCTTTTGGTAGAAATGAATGGCCGGTGAATCCAATGAGGGGTCCTCTATAGGGGAGCAAACGGGATTTGTCGATGCCCATTTGGTTGAAGGCCTCGACATACATGACGTCTACTAAACTCCCTGTGTTGACCATGATTTGCTTCACCTGATAGCCATCAATTGCTACAGTTATGATGATGACGTCATTATGAGGCGTCTCAACGCCTTGCAGAACATCATCCCCAAAAGATATGGGCTCCTCTGCCTTCATCCTCTTGTCGGCTTGGTCAACCCGTAACTCCCTCTTGGCATATTTCTTCCGGGCATTATTGGATGACCCTCCAGCAGTGCGACCACCACTGATCATATTAATGACCCCTTTGTGGCTAGGCTCTAGGGGTCAGCTGTCTTGGCACGGCCGAGGTCGAGGTGACCGCGAGCGGGATCTCCTATCCTGTTTGGCTAGATCAGCTTCCCTTCGATCCTATTGAGAGACAAGGTTCTTCAAGTACCCTCTCTCGATCAAGTCCTCGATATCCCTCATAAGGATATGACAATCGTTGGTGAGATGGTCATGATCCTTATGATACCGACAGAACTCCTTCATGTTGTGGTTCTTAGGATTTGACGTCAACTTAGGAGCGGTCTCCTTAAGGTGATCCTCCTTTTGAACCAAGGAGAGGGAGCTAAGGCAAGAGAGGTATTGAGGACTGTGAGGGTCAGCATTGGCGGTTGGTCCCTCTGTCGGTCCCTCCTATTAGACCGATTGGGATGGGAGACGACTCTCAGAGGATCTCTTGGCCACTCCTATCTTTCAAGGAGGCCTCTAGCTAACTCTGGCGTCGGTGCTACTGCCGGAGCTGCGGCTGGGGAGGTCTCTATGTCCCTGGCTGATGCCTTGTAAGTTCGGGTGTCCTCCATGTCCATGTACTCATGTGCCTTGTCTATCAACTGCTTATAGTTAGCGACTGGCTTCTTAGCAAGTGAGTCAGCCAACTCATTACTCTGTAGGTCGGCAACGAGTGCGGACATGTCGACTGTACTCCCTGGGTCATTGACCTCTAACCTCTTCGCCTGGAATCTTTTGAAGTAGGCTTAGAGGCTTTCGCTGGGCCACTGCCTCATCTGAATCAACACATGATGGGACGACTTCCGCTTGGTGTTAGCCAGGAAGTGGTGGATGAACTTCCGGCTGAGCTGTTGAAAATTACTGATGGACTTCTTCTCAAGAGCATTCCGCTAGAGTTTGGCACTCCCTGAAAGAGTGATTGGGAAGCATCGACATATAATTGCTTCCGATGCTTGGGCATGCTCATCACATCATAGTAATTATGAACATGCTCGGAGGGGTCTCCCTCACCTTTGTACTTCTCCACGTGAGGCATCTTGAATTTTTTACATGGGGCATTCATAAGGCCCATATGGTAGCAGGACGGGAGAGGCACGATGATCGAGGAGAGTCTTAGAGACCACTCTCCTAGTGCGGTCCCCAAAATGACATGGGCTTGGACTCTCACTAGAGGTCTCCTGATGACGGTGGTGATGTCAGCGAGACTCGTCAGCACGACTCGATAGACGCGGTGTTAGGATGTGTGTTCAACGCGATCCCCCATCTGTTTGGCAGCAGCACAAGGAGTCCAAGGCTGGACAACTCACTGAGCTCCGGTAGGAGTATGAGTTTTCGACCGCTGGTCTCCTAAAGGAGGGGGAGAGTTGAGGTAACTCGTTGCGGCTGTGGAAGTCGGCTGAAAAGTTCACTAGTAAAAATAGTAAATTGCTCTTGGAGAGACTGAGAGAGTTTGTGAGTTGTTTCCTCAAGCTGGACTTGGGTAATGTAGCTCTAACGTCATTCTATAGTGTGAGATTGATCAGACCCTTGTTCAGGACCTGTCATGTTTTCTCAAAAAAGAAAGATGCCCCACGGTGGGCACTAAAGTGTTGATGTACTAGTGATCACACAGTCAATATGTATCCATGTTTAGATAAGATTGTTGAGGATTGATGAGAGGCCACTTTTTTCCCCGACTTTATATCTGGTTCTTGAATTAGGAATCAGAGAAATCTACACATGTAGAAATTCGTGAGAGGATTGAGTTTGGTTCCCCGTTGTACCTCCGACAATCAAGTTAGATGATGAACTTGAGTGGGGTAAATAAGAACTATGAGAGTTCATGTGCGTGTAGTATGATTTTTAATTTTAGAGAATTTGGATCATGGATCGGATCTTCTCCCCCAGTCCCCCCCCCCTCCTTCAAGATAGAATAGTACCTATATTTATACCTAGGGTATAAGGGTAGATTGTTCTCTTCGGCTGACTGCAGGAAAGCGGTGACAAAGTGTGGGTTGGCAACTGTGTCAGCAGTTGCTTTACATGTGTCAGCTGGCGAGTGGGGAAAGGATCACTTTAGCATTAAACGAGAAGTGAGCGGTGGCAGGACGGTGGCCCACATGGTCCGATGAGTCATGAAGACTATCGATGCTAGAGGCATGATGCGTCTGCCATGCATTAAATGCGATGTTGACACGTTGCCAGTGAGGATAGGCTCAAGGAAGAGGTTGTCATTTAGCTTCGCCGAGAAGTAACACCTTTTGAGTCGTCTAGCAAACTGTCGAGTGGGCTCACGATGAGTCGTCTTCGACAAAGGGGGCGACAAGTACGCCTTTCTAGTTGACATGAGGGGGTGTGGACTCGACAGGTCAACTGAGTTATCGTCCCTACAATTCTCTGGCCACCAAGTGAATTGGAGCATAACATGCAGAAGTATACGTCAGTTGCTTAACACTGAGTTGCACTCGAGCGAATGAGAACACCATAACAATTATCTTGTATACTAACTAGAAAGCAAGTAGTTGACGCTAGTCACAATCGTTCCACATTTGATAAACTAAATAAAAATATTTTTTGCATTCCATAAACATTCTATTTATCGCACTTGCCTCTATCCCTTCAAGATAAGATTTATTATGGATCGCATGTCCGATTTTTTTTTGTAATATTTTACATCATCGATAGAACCAGTGATTTACCAATATTCTGTTGAATCTGAATTGTTTTTATATAGTTTTCATGAATAAGAAACTTATTACTTATGCATATCAAAAGCCTAAAGCTAGAACGAAAAGCGATTGATACTTTTACACATATCATGAATTTACCCAAAAGGAGTTTCGGTTACATTATGTGAATAATCATCTACCCTTTAAAAGAGGGAGTGCTAGAAAAACTTTTTCTACCCTAAATTATCCTTCAACTATTATAAATATAACAAAGTTATCCTCATCTTTCATTTTATTAACTTAAACTAAATATTTTTTTTGGTTACTCATAAATGAGAAGATGTAAAGCCCCGTTCCATCCGTTACGAATTTTCTCCGACAACACAATCACATTCTCTCTACCTCATCAATTGTTAGTTATCAAATTGCAAAGATACTATTATCGTCATCAAGAAGCTTATTATTATCCTCATCATCCACAAACCTTCTCTTCCATCTTCTCCTCAAATATCAGATTTTAGATCTTCTCCTCAAATATCAGATTTTAGAGATCAGGAAGGATCAGGAAGTAAACTAATTGAGCAAGGTCTTCTGTGATTTCTATTAATTCTTTTCCCCTAAAATCTCCCTTTTTTATTGATTCTAGGGCTCGAGAAAGGATGATTTGTTAGAGGATTATCCAGCGTTGTTGCTCCTGAGATTTGTAGCCCTAGCATTACGCTGGATTTGGATGACGGGATTGAGAGGATCCGACGAGAGTTCGAGGATGCGGAGAAGAGCTTTCTTAATATTCCACTGGCGCTCAAGGAGATGCCCGGGATGAATCCCGAAGGTGAAGCGATACGTCACTGTCACGTTGATTTTTAGTATTTTGACCTGAAAGTTCCCTTTTTTTTTGGACGTGCATGTGAAAATTTTGTTGTGGGTGCTTTTTTTTAGTGCTAAATTTATGATGAGATCAAAAGATTCCTATCAGATGTTCATTTTAAACCTTATTGGTTGGAAAATATAGTAGTTAGCTAAAAAGTTGTTTTGATTTATGTGTTAATTGCAATTTAACACTTCTTTCTGTAGTTATCTGGTAGATTTATGCAGGCATTTACCAGTTAGGATTAATGGTTTATGAGTTCAGTGATAGTCTGTGAAACTTAAGCTCTCTGCTGTAAATACTAACCAATTCCAGGTTCATGCAGCATCCAAAGTAGGAATGAGAATGAGCTATGTAACATGGCTGAATCCGACACTAAGTAATATGTGACACATTTCTGATTCAGAACTGATTTGGCATCAGATATTTCAAATGCTAACAGTTATTTCTGATTCAGAACTGATTTGGCATCAGATATTTCAAATGCTAACAGTTTAATAAACATAAAACTATATCGGAAGTTCTGAAGTAAAAATCGCATCAGATATTTCAAATGCTAACAGTTTAATAAACATAAAACTATATCGGAAGTTCTGAAGTAAAAATCTAATTAATTCTCGCATGGTGTTAGAAATTTCCTAATTTCAATACTCTTCTTTCCAATAGCAGCTATCAGTCTGTTTTATTCCGCCCTTTTATTATAGAGAATATTATTCCCAAGTAGGTGAGACTACACGAGAAGCTTTGTGTCAGTTACAGTGTCTTGAATACCTTTTTGCATTTCTCTAAGAGAGATGGAAACAGTAATATGTGGGCATGTGTATAACACATAGAAACACGAGAAGCTTGTGTTAGTTACAGTGTCAAACTGTAAACATCGAAAGATATGAAACATATTTATATTAGTAACTACACTGAGATATTTAAGATTCACGAATCCGATACTAAACTACATGTATCAGACTTCTGATATGGGACTGATACAGTGTAGCAATCATGTAATTTAAATGCAAACAGTTTTAGAATCGAGATACAACTTACTGTGTGTAGACTACTATGAAAAATATCTAAAGTAATAACCAGAGAACTTCTCATATAGTATCAGACATTTCATCTGTTCAATACTGTTCACCACTTTTAACTTTAATAGCTTCCATTACATCATCGTTCAGATTTATATTTTCTATGAGAATGTCATTTAACAATGGTGTTTCTGCTACAGTTCAATGCCAAATTTAAGTCTACTTCTTATTGGAAAAGTAAATCTTTAAATTTGAAGGGGCAGTGTTAAAGAACAGAAATAGGAAGAAAGCATTCAGGGAATTTCTTTACACTTTAGGGGGGTAAAAAGGCCAAATGTTATCATGTGATAATCACATAGTGCATTTTAAGTAGAATTGTGAGCGATTATATAACATGAGGTATTAAAGTTATAAAAATTGTAAAACTTTGGGGGTATTTTTTGGGGGGGAAATTAAAAATTTGTATTCAAAGTGAAAATGGGCGAAACTTTAAGGTATTAGAGTGCACTTAACCTTTTCTTTGGCTAAAATGCTGACTTTTAAGTTTGTGTAATTGGATAAGGAAAAGTCCCAATAAATTTTTTGATTACGTGAGAGGTTCTCGTTTGAGATGACAGCTGTCAATTTCTTGCGTTCAGTAATCAGAGGACTAAGTTGTGCTAAAGAGAAGGATCTACACTTTTCTTCTTTTACCTTGTAAAAATAGTGTATATTCTAACTTTTTGGTATGTTCCTTTGGAGCAAAATTTAAGTATTTATGTAAACAAGAACCTCAGAATGGATAACATTCAAGTTTGTGGTTTTGACTAAGACTATACTCTTGCCCGTTACTCATCAAATTTACAGAGTTTGATATATGACCTAGAGAAACACTACCTTGTTGATGATGTTCGTTAGCAAACTTGTGCTGTATATGTATCTATATCATCATTAATTTATTGGTGAGAAATTGAATGAGTTTCTATTGTTTTTAATTTGGGAAATATGATCATCTCAGCTTAAGTATCCGGAGAGCTACTTGCAATTTGCATATGACCCAACTTTTCCGATCAGAGGCCTCGTCTATGACAAGCTGAAAGGGTGCCTTTTGAAGCTTGGTTTCTTCGGGTCTATAGAACCCGATGGATGCTACTTCGGGCGTCACAAGGTGATATCATAGTAACCTTCCAAATGAAAAAGATGAGGATTTGAATGATTACAAGTGTTTGTACTTACTATTTTGCTACTATTGGGCTCACTTCATACTGACTGCATCCTATGTCAATGTATATACGTCTCTAAGCTATGATTCTCACTTTTTAATGCTTGCCTAATTGTTTATTAACTAAGTGTTTCTTATTAGTGACAAAAAGTTGGTAACATGAAGGACGAGATAGTAGGAGGCTTTATTTGGTTTATTACGGAAGCAGTTCTTTCTAATAAATGAATATATTTTTATTGAAGAATCAGTTCCTCTTTTATTGACATGCATTTTGATACTTGTCTCCAATTGGTTGGTTAGTATAGGAAAGCATTCTTGTTACTATACCAAGTAACGTCGGTAGGTAAATTTGATGCAGTCACATTTATCTCAGACGACACATAGCTACTTGTATTTGACTGATTTCTTTTCAGCTATTGTAAATATAACAAAGTTATCCTCATCTTTCATTTCATGAACTTAACAAAGATACCCTTTTTTCCGTTACTCACAAATCAGAAGATGTAAAGCCCTAAATCTTTCTTCCTTTCCTTCTCCATTCCATCTGTTACGAATTTCCTCCCGCAACGCAGTACCACTCTCTCTACCTCATCAATTGTCGGTTATCAAATTGCAAAGATGATTATTATCGTCCTCAAGAAGCTTATTATTATCCTCATCATCCACAAACCTTCTCTTCTATCTTCTCCTCAAATATCAGATTTTAGGGATCAGGAAGTGAACTAATTGAGCAAGGTTTTTATAAGAGAATAATTTCTGGTATGTCTTGATCAATTTATAAATTTTGATTTTGAAAATTCTTAGATTGTTTGATATCTTTATGTGGTTTCATTCTGATCTTTTCGTATTTTGAAATTAAGCATAACACCAATGTAATTGTTTTCTCTGAGGCAATTTAGGTTCTATTCATTAGAATTTAATTTTTTTCTTGGACTACAATTAGTTTTTATGGAAATTGATATTTTTCAAATTTTTTTAGTTTTCTTGCATTATTTACAGGATTAATGATTTGGAGGTTTGTTGACTCTCCCATCTATCAAGATAAATATTAATATTTGATATACATTTAATTTGGTTGCGTCTTCACACTTTTATTACGATGGAAGTTCGCTTCCACCGGAAGTCGAGGTTGTATATTCAAATTGCTAATGTTGAAGTTAAAATCTGAAACCCATTCAATTCCAGTGTCTCCTGCAACTATGCCAAATTTGCAGTTGTAGTGAGCATGAAGGGACTTATATATATCCTTCTAATATTTGGATTATTGTGTAAATTAAGGAACTTTCTGCCTCTTTAAGGCAATACAAAACTAAACCATGATTTCATAAAATGTGAAAGTAAAAATTCATAGATATCTCAACTTTAATGTTGGATAATGATGTAAGCACTGGAACAACTTCAAATTGCTACAAAAGTTGACCATTCGGCTACTGTAAAAATCCAACTATTATTTCTAAATATTGTCTATTGTTAATAGTTAATATTAAAGTCTCACAAGATCCTCAATAATCTGGTGTTTATTTGAGGGTCTTCCAAGATGCTTACTGTGTTGGGAGATCTTTGAGTGAAATATCAAAATTCTTTCAAATCTAAGCAAAATATGTTGGAAAATATCACTTCGCTTGAAATCTAAGTATTCATGTCATACTTTGCAGGCATGTTATGTCCCCCCCCCCCCCCGACCTGGAAATGGAACATAAATTTCCACCCCTCATCCCCATTTCCAAATATTGTTTTACCTTCACAAGTTAAAATTATGCTTGTGGACCATATAATTTAACAGCATAAGGCATAGAAATGAGCCACATAATTATGTTTCTGGTTTGTTTAGACCATGGCACTTCAGGATCACTTCCATACACATGCCTGATCAAAGATCTCAGTGAACATAACTTACTTAAGTCTTGAAACCGTACGTTGTGTAGAAAAATTCATTGTCACACATTACTACACAACATAGTGACATATAACAAGTAGATGATGACAGATAACATAATAAAAATAGCTCGGAAATTTAGTAGTATGTCATGTATCGAACTCTTTTTTCTAAAGGTTCCATGTTAATTTGTTCACAAAAGAATTAGTCATATATGTAGCCTATGCTTATTTGATACTTGCAAGTTTAGATACATACAAACAAAATACAAGGTTACAGTATAAATTTTTTGTGTGGGGCTACAGGTTCCTCAAATTGCAATATGATATGTTTTTGACAAGTCTTGAATGCCTGTTAGGTTATCTCAAACAAGTAAAACACAAGTATGCAGCCGAAAATGCTATGAGAGGATGCAACTATAAAGCCACACAAAAAATACAATATCAAAATGATGGACATTGGCACCTTTACGGGAAAAATAACTAACATCTTAAATAGGCATGAGACTTGGTACTACTCTTGCATAGGTTGCAACAAACAAGTAGAAAAATATAATTATGACAAATGTCAAAATTATCCACAAATCACTAAAGATAGTATACCAAGGTTAAGTATTATCAATTATTCATGAAAGAATAACGTAAAAATTAAATATAAAAATATCATCTCATGCACAATGATAATACAAAATGTAAGTATGTAGTTAAAATCATAGTTGAAGATGAGACAAATAGTGCAAGAGTGACACTTTTTAACGCAGCAGAAACTCTGATAGGATGCAAGGCTCAGAAATTCATTGCTGATATAAAAGAGGTAACTTCTTACTTTATTATATTTTATACATATAAAACCATATGTTTCATGTATAAGAACTTAATTGTTTCCTCATTAAAACAGGGAAATAATCAGAGTTCGTTCTTCCAAAAGTTTGTGCTAAACATCGGAAAGATATACAAGTTCCTTGTGAAGTTAGATGAAAACTCAAAGGATGAACGTGCACAAGGAAAGATAATAGCACAAGAAATCCAAATCCAGGAGGACATCACAATCAACATTGACGACGATGATGCGATTCTCAAATTACCAAAAAAGAAGATAAATGTGGAAAAGGAATGATCAAGGGACCAAAATTTTTTTAACATGAACAATTTTTAATTTTCAATACATTTACAAATCTGTTGACCGATTTTTAACTAACTTTTCATATACTTTTAAGATGATAAACTGAATGTTATTTGTTAGGAAAATTTATGAATTATAAGCATATGCACATATAGTTGTTTGATAACTATTGCATGCTTTGATTAATTATGCAGTTATTAGCTTAAATTTATCATTCAATTGTGTGAATCTAAATATGTATTCAGAGAATACTTGACTTTATTACTTTTAAAATGCATATGAACTATTTTTTTTGTGATCTCAACTGCAAGCAAACTCTTGTTGATGAGTCATATGCAAGAAGGGATTCAACCCGTGGACATATCCTCTCAGATTCTATTCAACATGGCAATGACACAGCTTAGTTTATGTGCCTTGAGGACCGGTATTATTGCAAAAGCGCATGGGTGTCTGTCTGAAATTTATACATGTGATAGGGTGAAGAAGTTGCTTGCGCAAGGTGTATATCAAAATCGGTATCCTCAAAAAACTCTTGAGCAGGTATCATGAAAAAACTCCTGAAGACAATTATATTCTATCCATATGTTTGATACATGGTTTAAATTAAATAAATCTTAATAAAATGAATCAATAATAAATTAATAAATTAATAAATTACCACGTGCATTGCACGTGCAATCCAACTAGTAATACATAAAAGTGAAAGCCATCGCATCTTTTCAAGTGGGAGAGAATAAGGGGGAGAGTATCACATTGAATGTTAATAGTTTATATTATCTATGTTTTATAGTTAAATGAAAAATTACCCAAGGGCCCAAAATATAGGACCAATATGGGGGACATGTGAGGTGTCCCCCCTTCTATTGCATAATGAGTTGGCCATCATTAATGATGGCTAGCTCATTATGTAATAGGAGGGGAAACCTCACTTGTCCCTCCCCGTTGGTCCCCATATTTTGGGTCCCTGTAGCAAAACTCTTTCTCGTTACTCAAGGATAAAAGCATACTTATCAAATTTGACTTTTTGGTATGGGATTTCATATATTTTCTTTTTCCTATTTAAGTCATTATTTAGATATGGACTACAGAACATACGTATTTAGAAGGGATTCAGATCCTCTCCACTACAAAAAAAAAAAACAGTGGAGGGATCACTACATAATCACGGCCATTGATTATCTAGTTAATGGTTGTGATTTTTTTAGTGCAAATTAGGAATGAGTGCAATACACGGGGGTATGGTAAGTGTTAGATTTAGATTGTTGCAATACACGGGGGTATGGTAAGTGTTAGATTTAGATTGTATCATAACCGTCTACTAAATAATCAATGATTGAGATTAAAAACAGTGATCTCTCCACTACAAAAAGGGGTGGTAAACGATCGAATCAAATCGAATACTAAGATGCTCGTATTTGTATTTGTTTAAAATTATCGAATTCGAATGTGGACTCTAAAATTCATATATCTAGTTTTCTAATTCGAACTCGAATACTTGGTATTTGATAAATATTCATGAATATTCACGAATACTTATCGAATATCAAAGTTTATTTATTATATCAAAGTATATTTATTCCGCTAAAGAATTTGATTTTCAAATAGTATTTGAATTCATAAATAAAATTTATTCCTTTATAATATATGATGTATATATATTTAAATCAAAATTTTAATTAGAAAACAGATTTAAGATTATTTAAGTCTTAAAATCAGGATATAAAGCTCAAGTAGAAATGGTATGTAGGTTAAAAATATGACATCATATGTGCAATAATACAAGTAATATGATGTGATCAAATTTTAAACGAATATTTAATAGACAAACGAATCGAATATACATCTGGTTAAATTCTATTCGTTAGTAAACTCGAATACTAAAAAATATTTGTTTAGTGGTAAATGAACTACCGAATCGAATATGACCGAATACTTTTTCGAACAATTATCGAACTATTTGGTTCATTTCCACCCCTACTTTTTTGTAGTGGAGACGATCCAAATCCATTTAGAAGTTGCCGTGAAATTCAAGTTATTCCATTATCAAAAGAAGCTAAATTACATTTTCCAAAATTCTCCATTGTGTTTGTCCAAATTTTATTTTTTCCATATCAGATCGGCCTCGTTGAAAAGAGGCTCCATGAAAAATATAGATTTATCGCATGAGTGAGGAGGAGATACGCGTTTTATTGTCCGTTTTAAATCAGTGTAATATTATATAAAATCATTACTAATAATTAAAATCAATGCAAATTGATGTTTTTAACTTTTCTCGTTCGTCCTGTATGGTTTTGTAGGGGAGGGCCCTTCAAATTATTATTTTTCCAAATCTCATATGAGACTAATATCTCTAGCGAGTCAATTAATTAACTTAAATCCGAAAGGAAAATAGATATTGGTGGACACCAGTGTAGATCCCACCACCAGCAGAGGCAAAACGCCTGAGTACGCGTCGCCACGTAGGCGTGGGTCCGGCTTCTTGGTCGTGCTATGGGTGTAGTTTTGTCCGGTGACACATCGTGGTCCCCAAAAAAGTCACTCTCTAGTGCTCTATACCTCTCAAAATAAATTAGTCAATTATTAACAGAATAATATTTGTATTCTTAGTCTCCATCTTTTATAGATTTTTCTGATCTGATTTTATATTTGAGCACATATGGGTCCCATTTCGAATCCAAACATCAATACAGATTGGTCTTTATGTGGGATAAAATCTCAAGATACAGACTTGATGATCTCCTTTCCATTGATTTTTTATTTACTTATTCCATTGATTATTTATTTTGTTTTTCTTTTTGATTGATCATAGGTTGCACCAGCATCAGTGTATGACCAACTAACTGAAGCACAAACGGGCAAATTGTAATTAATTAAATGGATGGAATCAACATCTTTAACTATTGCATAGACATATATTCTTCCCAATTTTATTACTTTTTCCTAGGTAATATTTAAAGTATTTTAAATTTATCCTTTCATTGCAATATATGAACCAATCATGTTGTTTTTTATATGCTTTCTTTATTGATTAAGATTTTTTTTTTTTTCCTTCTTCTTTGAGAAGTATATGATGTAGGGGTGTCATTTTCATAGCTCCAAGTACAAAGTCTGATTCATGCCTTAGTACTTTGGTACTAATTTGACAAAAATATTGCTAAGGTGGGATGAAAGGTTAAGAAACCACTTTCATGTTGGTTGGTTATTTTTTGAAAGCAACACTTGCTGCATTAGCAAATATATACTCTTATAAGTTGTACCTTGTAACCTTCTAAACTTTTCGCCATAAAAACTTCCTAGAATTTTCAAATTTTGGTGTTTAATATAGCAGAAAAATTCCCATCTTTTCTCCAATCAAATAAGAATTTTATTCCCATCTTTTCTCCAATCAAATAAGAATTTTATTAATAATGATGCAATTGGAAAGCAAAGGGAACAAATTTATTGAGACACTTACCAACATTTCTGAAAGATAATTATTTTATTTCAAGTTGTTATTTGATATATATATATATATATATAAGCGATATGGTGACATGGTATGCTTAATGTGAGCTGGTCATTCTGCATCGTTAGATTCAAATTAAGGGTTAGGTTTAAACTAATAGGTTAATTAATTAAAAATATGTGGCCCCCACATTTATTTGTTTTCCCTACCAAATCTTCTACAACCCTGACCCTGACCCTAACCCGAACGCTAACCTGAATCCGGACCCAAACCCTAACCCGAACCCGAACCCAAATCTGAACCCTAACCCACTAACCATAGCCCTAATCCAAGCCCTAACCCGAACCCTCACTTGAACCCGAACTCAAACCCTAACTTGAATACTAACCCGGCCGAACCCACAAACCCAAACCTAAATTCGAACCCAAGTAAGAAAGAGAGGAGGTGGAATGGAGGATACGGGTAACTTGAATACTAACCCGGCCGAACCCACAAACCCAAACCTAAATTCGAACCCAAATAAGAAAGAGAGGAGGTGGAATGGAGGATACGGGAAACCTTAGATAAGATTTGGCAGGGAAATTAAATAAATGTGAGGGCCACATATCTATAACTTGTTAACCTATTAGTTTAAATCTAACCATTAAGTTAAATCTAACGGTGATTCAAATTAATGGTTAAATTTAAACTAATAGGTTAACTAGTTAAATATATATGGCCCCCACATTTATTTAATTTCCCTACCAAACCTTCTCTAAGGTTTTGCATATCCTCACTTCCACCTCCTCTCTTTCTTATTTGGGTTCGGGTTAGAGTTAAAGTTAGGGTTCAGGTTAGGGTTAATGGGTCCAGGTTCGGGTTCAGGTTTAGGTTTGTGTTAGACTTTGGGTTAGGGCTCAGGTTAGAGTTAGAGTTAGTGGGTTAGGGTTCGAGTTTCAGTTTGGGTCAGAGTTCGGGTTAGGGCTTAAGTTAGGATTAGGGTTAGTAGGTTCAAGTATAGGTTCGAGTTCGGGTTAGAGTTAGAGAAGATTTGGCAGGAAATCAAATAAATGTGGGGGCCACATATCTATAATTAGTTAACTGTTAGTTTAAATCTAACCATTAATTTGAATCTAACGGTGTAGAATGACCATCTCACGGTAAGCAAACTATCTCACCATATCGCTTCTCTCTCTATATATTCGTTAGATTATGTAGATCAGATATAAGAGTTTGTCAATTATCCTTGTGATACAGGAGATCTACATGCGATGACTCGAATCAGATGAGTCGATAAGACAAGACTCGACGACTCAATCCGGACGAGTCGACAACAAACTAGTCGAAAGGACCTGAGACCTCGAGACGAAACCCCGAGACGAGATCAAGTGTTGGACGAGACGACAGGAGACAGGATGAATCGACACCTGCAAGTCGACACGAAAGGCGGGACTACTCGACATACTCAGTCGATACATCCCAGTCGACACGAGGAGCGATGTTAGTCAACACATTCCAGTCGACACAAGGGGCAGAGTTAGTTGGCTCATGTCCAGTCGACACAAAAGGGGTTACTCCTCACCACACCTCGTGTCGACTCAGATTTTAGATTAGGAAAGAGTTCTGTTTTGTTTGTTTCCTTTTGGGATTTAGTATTTTCCTTTTAAATTTAGAGTTTCTTTTTTATTAGAGTTAGGATAGATTTAATTAGCTATAAATATTAGTTCCTTTTGTAATTTGTGGATCAACTTTTCAACTATTCAATCAAGAGAATTTTTCTCCTTGTTTTTGTTCTCAACTTTGAGAAACTTAGAGCTTGTGGATTCAAGCTCATGAATTACCTGCT